GTCATCTTGTAACCTATTCTGGATCTGGTGAATATCAGAGTCAGCAGTATAGATCACTGTATCATCAGCATAAAGATGAATCTTACTCATGGAGCAGGTGTGTGATAAATCATTGATAAAGATCGAGAACAAGAGGGGTCCTAAAGTGGAACCTTGAGGAACACCCTTATTAACCAATAAATAATCAGACAATGAACCTTTAAAAGCAACTTCTATTATGAAGATAAGAGTTAAACCATAATAAAGCACTTTGATTCAGACCTATTGAATGTAATGATCCACCATGTCAAAGGCCTTTGAAAGATCCACCATGTCAAAGGCCTTTGAAAGATCAATAAAAATAGTCCCATATCACAGGCAGAAAAAATATCATTGGTGAACTTTAATAAAGCTGTGGTGGTAGAAAAATTAGGTATTTTTCTAAAAATTAAGTATTCAAAGACAGATTAAATAGGTCAGCGAGTGGAAACATCAGTACATGGGCAGCAAGTTTAATATACCTAGCCTCAAGCCCATCCGGACCAGCACTGCTATATTCTGAATAATGAATTTTGATAATTGATTAAAAATAATTTTCTCAAATAATTTGGCAATGGAACATATAATAGAAATAGGACGGTAATTATTCATAATAGAAGCATCACCAGTTTTTAATAAAGGGGTAACTTTCGCACATTTCCATGTAGTAAAAGTATTCAAAGATAGATTAAATAGGTCAGCGAGTGGAAACATCAGTACATGGGCAGCAAGTTTAATATACCTAGCCTCGACCCCATCCGGACCAGCACTGCTATATTCCTTCAGATCAGCTATAGCATTATAAACATCAATGGGCATAATTTTGTTAAATTTAAATGAGCCAGATGCAGAAGAAGAAGTCGAAACATGATCATTGGTTTGAGAATAAACATGATTGGAATCACCAATTGTAGTAAAATGCTGATTGAAAGCATTAGCAATAAGGGTAGGATGGGTAATTGTAACATTATTCATTTTCAATTGGTTAGCAGGAGTTTTGATATTCCTATTGAGACCTCGATTCAAATGATCCCAGAACTGTCTAGGGTTTTTAAAATCCTTAAGAAAACAGTCTCTATAGTAACTGGATTTAGCATTTCGGGTTTGAGTCTTACACTGATTCCTAAGATATACATACATAGGCTATATATGATTTTACATGTTATACTTTCCAAATAAACAACCATGTGGACATGCATGGCATAGCTATTTAGCTCAACTAAAATATTTTTAATAATGTACAAATAATTACTGCAACTGCATTACACAAATAAGTTTTATTGAAACATATATGCTTTTCCACAGTTCCCAAAGGTCCTTGAAAGTTTGTATATTATTTATATAGGTCCTTGAAGTTCTGTCGTGTACCCTGGTTTACCTGTTTGTTTGTTTATTAAGTGCTTGCGATTGGATTCAATCTCTGCTTCATTCCTGCCTGCATAAAGATATAAACAATACATGTACATATATTTCGATATATTTTTACATTATATCGTATGTATATATTTCCATATAATTGTACATATATTTAAAATATATTCCACAATATATTGAAAACATATCTATACATATATTTTTATTTATATATTTCCATATAATTTCATATATATATATATATATATATATATATATATATATATTGAAATATATTCTACCATATATTGAACATACATGGGACCCTATATCTTTACATATATTACCAACACATTATTCCATACAAATTGTAATACATTATGGTGGATATTTATAAGTATAAAATTGCACATATTTTCGGATATATAATTACATATATTATATATTCATTTACCATATATTTCAATATATTTAATATATTGTATAATATATGTATCATCAATATATTACTCCATGCATTTCCAATATATAGTATATTGGAAAATGGAAAGGAAAATAATATATTACAATATATTTCAAGTAATATATTGGTAAATATATTTTTCTTTCATAAGGGTAGAAGGTTTGTTGTGTTTTCTTTAAATTTATCATTAATTCAACATTTAATTCCTGTTTACATGTACTGTTAAGTATTGATGACCATGATTGTCAGGGTCTTCCTCTCCACTTGTAGGCTTATTAACATCTCCATGCACTCATTTTAGTGTTGTTCATTGTATTAGGGTTGTACGGTAAAGCAGTGACAGAAAAATTGGTAACCTCTTTACTGGCACTTGCTTTTGGTAGGAATATCAATGTACAGCAAAACGTGCTACAGATGTGGCTTGGTATATCAATATCAGGAGTGGTGTGATGGTATCTATAATTTTGACGACCACATACTTCTGTCGATACACTTGTGCCATTTTCTGCGCAACAGTCTCCAGGTAAAGAACCATGTTGTATTGAATGTGTCGTATAAAACAACAACAACAAAGAATTTGTCATGAATATGTATTGTAAAGTAATGTGACCTCTATTTGGCAGACTCACCAGGCTGTAGGGTGCAATTGAAGTCTTGGAGAGGACCTCGGGTAAAGCCTTTCCTTCAAAAACAAGGATCCTACGTGCCTACTTGAGCTTTGAGACACTGTCCGACCACACCTACACTTCTGCATGCGTAACGTGTGGTTACCATCCAGTGTCCGTAGTAATGGACCTTCATAAGCAGGGTGTTTTTAGTATGCCTGGTAAGTCCACAGATTTAATCGTTTTTTTTTTTACTCAAATGTTATTTCATGTACACTGCATGTCCAACTTGAGTAAGACTAGTAAAGTCTTGTTTTATTAGTTAGCAGCATTGAGGAACCACCAGAGGATTTTGATGGAAAGGTGAATGCTGAAGATTTCTGGGAGTGGGTTTTTCTGGAAATGATCAGCTGTGGGTTAGTTCCAAGTGAGTATGATTCACACAGTGACTACCCTGATACAGCTGGTATCACATTTTAGTGTTTGCTTTCTTTACTATGGGATTATGATAAAATGTCTTATTAACAATTACTTATTCAAAGACAATAAGGCAAACCCCTATATGGTTCGTCCAAGCTACCATATCTGGGCTCCATGGATTGGTCCTCACACAAGAAGCAGGAATCATCTTCTCATTACAGAATATCAGAAGGTGCATTCTCCTTATTGTGTAAAGGAGGAATCAGAATTTACCCTCACAGAGGACTGGCTGACAGATGAGCTTCTAAAAGGTATTTTGACTCATTAAATCATTTACTGTGAGCTATGTCAGTTAATATATGTGTTTTACTGAATCAAACGATGTGGTAATGTCAAATATGCTAATGTTCATTATAGATAGAGGCCTTATGTAGGGAGTGTGAAATCGACCTCAAGGGCTCGCGAATGGACTTCGTTGGACGACTGCAGCAAGAAATGAAAAACAGAGCCAGTTACGACAAGGTGTTTTCACAGATCTGGGGAGCATCTGGTATGTTACGTTGTATTACAGAGAAAAACTTTTCAAACTGTACAAACAGTTCTTTGTTTACTGTTCTTTAAAATGGGCTTTTTGGTTGAAGTATAGTGAAGTTCTGTGATTTGTGTTTTCCTTCAACAGGTGGATGGGCTGTGGTCACCTGTCCTTGTACTGTGGTCTATGGTGTAAAATTTAACATCAGAGCTGAGAGCCCACGGGACTTCACAGACCTTTTGTTTTCAATGAAACATTTTCCAAATATTTCATTGTATGATTTCGCCAGAGGGCTGGCAACACACACTAACATTAGAAAACCTGAAACCTTCGATCGTCATGGGGCAGGCTGCTGGAGCCTACAGAGGAAAACATTCTGCTTGCAAATTCTGGGCAGATAAAAGTGAACTTGCCGTGGTTACTCACAGAGAAGTCAGTGCCAGATGTAGATGGCCACCCTATAACAGGATCATCTGATTGTAACGGGGTTCAGTTGTTATGGGAAGAAGGAGGCGGGAACCGGCGAACATTCAAGAAGTTTAATAAATAAATAAACAAATACAAAAATGAAAGTAAAGCCAGCAGCCCCTCACGGACGACTGCTGGCCACAGAAACAAAACACAACATAAAATCAGGCCTGTTCCTCTCTCGATGTTCACATTCGTCGCTCCTCCTTTATGCTTCCGCTCCACCGTGAGAGATGCGAGACCGGTGCGTCTCACAGGTGTCGCTCATTACCACTCACGCCAGCGGCCTCGCGCCTCTCTCACGTCACTCGGCCTCGTCCTGCTCGGCACACTGATCATTATGCCGTATATGATCGTTTCCATGAGGCTAATTCTAAAGACGCCAGGGATACCTTGCGCAAGGGGGAACTGGTCCCGGAGTTGTGTGGTTGGCTCAATAGCCAGTGTGCCAAACAGCTCTTCTCTGGAATGAGAAAAAATAACCATTTTCTCAATATGATGACTCCCTCCTCACATATTTCTGATGCGAAACATCTTGCATCACAACAACATCAACAAAAACTCCAGAACCATAGAGAACATGAAGACGAGACTGGGCATGGGAGTGGACATAGTGTTAAATTCCAATGGTAAGACAGTGTTGGGTATGTATTCCACCCTCATTCTTAAGTCTTAGTGGTAATGATATGGTTCTGAATATTATATATTTATATATGTGTATATGTTTTTATTAGAGTGAGGATGTTTGTTTATGTGTGTTTTAGGTGCAGCCATGGCCGTGAATCTTCAATCCTCCTACTCTGGTGATTCTGCAGCATGCAGTCAACTTCCAGGTATGAAGGTGCAGTTGTGGTAGGAAGATCAATCATCTTTGATTAAGATTAAGTGATAATTCATGTTGTTGTTTTTCCTTTTTTTCTTTTTAAGAGCTCCTGTCCAGTCACCATATGAAGAGCATACGTCACAGTGTGACTACAAGCCACAAGCCCTTCTGGGCAGTGGAGGACATGCTTCCAAATAAAGCAGTTTGGGGGCAACCATTACCCATCTTCAGAAAATGGTAGTCATTAGTTTGTTGCCATGCTAAAAATCTTAAAACACAATCATAGGTTATGCTTTTTCATTTTTTCTTCAGGTTGCAAGTGTATTGGACCCTAACAGTGACCCAAAGGAACGTATTGTTTTTGTAGGATCAACTGTGTTGTTGCGTTCCGATTTTTTGTCTTTAGGATTGTCGGAAGGAGTTGAAGCAATGGTAAAATAAATTTGTATTAGTAAAATGAGATGGAAAAATATCAAAGGATCTGATTTTATTTTTTTTATTTAAAAATGATAGATTTTGAACTGTTGCCTAAGAATCATAGAGCACATCGCTTTCCACAGGGTAAGGTCGCAGTCTTGAAGATTTTATTGAAAACCGGATACATTTGTATGCATCTGATCATTGTTTCCATTACAGGATATCAGTGTGTATGTTGCCAATTCCTACGTGGTAGCGACCTGGCTTCCGCCACTCTCTTGTTTCCCAGAGTTGTCCCTTCCGGTGAGTTCTGGATTATTTTATTTTGTGAAAGATTTTACTATAGCTGAATATAAAGAACATTATAGTTCCTAGGCTCTGATATGTTTCTACATAAATGTTAGGCTAATGAATAATGAAAGTTTACAGGAAGGTTGATCTTTAGGGACTGGATTGGGAAATTATTACTTTGCAGAAAAAAACTTTCCAAAATCATGTATAGGTCTTCATGTGAAGCTTGTTTAATATTTAGGGTAAATATTGTATTTTCTATATTTGGTCTAATTTTGTGTACAGTCATTTTTTAGATACACCTGTAATTGAGTACTGTATAGTAATATAATTTTGCAGGTTTAAACTATATTTTATACAGGAAAATGTATAGCTATATTGTATAAATTTAATATATTTTGCAGGTGTACCATTTGTTTGGCCTATATAGTAAAATTGTGTGTGAATATATTGAATTGTAAACTCTGTTGTATGTTTCTTAAGAACTCCAGTTAAGCTGTGTGATGTCGTGTTTTCTCCTTAAGGCAGAAAAAAGTATGAGTGTAGGTAATGTCAGGAGTTTGTCATACATTCTATCACAATATGACAATTTCTAAACCACTTGACAACTAGTGGGACGCCAAAGTTTACTTCACTATATTACAATTAAATCCTGATGTAATCATGATAAACTATATATTGTTGGAAAGATCTAAGACTCCTAAATAGATATTTTAGCATGTTTTTTTTTTTTTTTTTTTTTTTTACAAATTATGTTGGAACAGTAATAGATGAATTTATGACAAGAGTATACATAAAAAAGAATATCTACACCATAACAGTTTGGACCTTTGTCACAAAAAGTTGACGTACACACTTGTAATAATTGAAACTTTGTTTTTCATGCTAAAAGTTCATAATAAAACATATAATCTAGTATTTGTCAATACTTTTTTTTTTATTACATCATATATTTTAGTAGTTATCATAAATTAGGTGTAATAGTGTATTACAACTGTCACGGTTCTTAAATTCTCTGCTCGTTCTCGTCTCGTGTGTTTGTTATTGTGCGTGTGGGCGTGGTCTCAACACCGCCTCTGATCAGCGGCACCAGCTGCAGCTGATCAGCGATGCATATTTATGTTCACAGTTTTCGTCCTGTCTTTGTCAGATCGTTGTGGAGTTCCTGTTTCTGTCTGGCGTCTTGGTCTTCGTGTTGTGCCGAACTGGATTTGTCTCTTGGTTTTCCGTTCCCGTCTGGATTATCTGTTCACCCCGCTCTTCACGGACCTGGTTTCACCCACCATCAACTTCACCTGGATCAGCCCATCGAAGTCCCTGCGTCACTCCATCGCCACCGTGTTGTGTAAGTGTTCTGACATTAGTTATCCTCAATAAATACTTTTACTTGCTATTGCATCCGTCTCTGAGTTCGTCACAGAACGATCTGACCAAGATCATGGAAGCAGCGAGTAAGATCAGTCTGAATGATTTCATTGCATATCTAGCATGGATTCCCAGGAGGAAAGTCTCACACACCCTGGTCGGGCGGTGCAAGCCCAAGTGGCGAAGGTGTCCGACCTCACCCAGCAACTTCAACATCTGAGAGGTCCCGCTGCGCAGCCCACACCTGTGCCAGTTCAACCCACTCCACCAGAGCCGACTCTCCAGCCAGAGCCTCGTCTACCTGTTCCTGAAGCTTATGCAGGTGAGCCAAGTTACTACAGAGCCTTCCTAATTCGATGCTCGATGCATTTTTCACTTCAGCCGAGGACTTTCTACAGTGAAAGTTCTAAAGTGGTGTTTGTTCTAACACTGCTGACGGGGAGAGCGGCGTTATGGGGAACGGCGATGTGGGAGAACCAAGATCCGTGCTGCAGGCACTCTCTGAGGAGATGAGGCGTGTTTTCGACTGGGCAGTGGCTGGGAGAGAGGCGGGCAGGATACTCATCGACCTCCAGCAAGATAACCGTCCGGTCTTAGACTATTCGATTGAGTTCCGGACCTTGGCGGCAGAGTGCCAATGGACGAGGAGGCGCAGTGGGACATATTCCTGCGTGGGCTGTCAAGACCTTGTAGATGGGGAACCTACATATTCGGTAAATCGTATACTGGACTCGAGACAGAGGGGACGCGGATTTCAGTATCTGGTGGACTGGGAGGGTTACGGTCCAGAGGAGAGAAGGTACCACTTCCACTCCGTCTTGGTCTTTGTGTTGTGCCGTACTGGATTTGTCTCTTGGTTTTCCGTTCCCGTCTGGATTATCTGTTCACCCCGCTCTTCACGGACCTGGTTTCACCCACCATCAACTTCACCTGGATCAGCCCATCGAAGTCCCTGCGTCACTCCATCGCCACTATGTTGTGTACATGTTCTGACATCTGTTATCCTCAATAAATACTTTTACTTGCTATTGCATCCGTCTCTGAGTTCGTCACAACAACAAAGTGTATTTAGGTGTAATGAGAAATATTTGTTCATGTAGAAAAGTAATACTTTGTTGTTTATATTAGGAGAAATGGATATCATGGTGAATTTATCATCGTCAAGGTGTGTTCGACAGCTGGATTTTGCGTTTGATTTCTCGCTGCATGAAGTTGTTCAAGATGTGACAGTTGATTACATTTTGAAGGACCCTCGTGAGTATCAAAGGGTAAGATATAAATGTTATGGAATATTTGTGAATGGTTTGGATAAGGAAAATAATGTTAAAGGTGTGGCAAAAGTGACGTTTGTACTTATGTTTACATTTAAGGGAGACATTTTAAACATGTGTTAGTGTATCAACGTAATGTGTATTAAGACAATTGTACTGTAGTTTACGTTATTAGGTGTTGTAGTTATTGCATAATGTAATTAATGGTTTAAAAGTAGTGTTTTATACTGTAGAGCTGCAAAGATGCCTCATCATCTTTGTTAACATTGATTATATAAATTTGTGTGAAAAAAGTGCATACGGTTGCATAGTTGCATTGTGTAGATACATCTGTAAAATTTGTCATGGTGAGCAGAAAAAAATACAATAGAGGGTAAAGTTTAATGTGGTAATACCACTTAATACAGTTTTTTCATAGTGCATTTGATTAACTTTTTTAAGGTCGACAAAATAACCGCATAATATAGAAGAACTTGTGTGTTAAAGGGATAGTTAACACAAAATTAAATATTAACTCATGGTTTACTCGCCTTGTCCTGGGTGTATGATATTCTTCTTTCAGTCGAATATAGATCATTTTAAAAAATGTCCTGGCTCTTCCAAGTCTATAATTATATTCCAAGTTATAAGGTTTGGTAGAGCTAGGACATTTTTTTAATAAAACTCAGATTTATTTGTCTAAAAGAATGTCATATACACCTAGGCCCTGGCCGTGAGCAGCAGCATGCATTTAATTGTTATAAGGTGGTGCGCATGTGTGTGTATATATATTATTATACATATATACAGGTGAAACTCAAAATTTGAATATCGTGCAAAAGTGAATTTCAGTAATTCTATTTAAAAGGTGAAACTAATTATACAGACTCATTACATGCAAAGTGAGATATGTCAAGCCTTTGTTATAATTTTGATGATTATGGCTTACAGCTTATGAAAACCTTTTCGCAATATTCTAATTTTGAATTTGGGCTTTTCATAAGCTGTCATCATCAAAATTATGAAGTTGATGTAAAGTGAACTTTGTAAAGTGTTGAGTATTCATATTTTGCTTACACAAACTCATTGATTTGCTTCAGAAGGCATTTATTAACCTCTCTGAGCAGTGTGGATCACTTTTATGATGGATAGATGGAGTTTTATGGATTTCAAAATACGGGCATTTACTGCCATTATAAGGCATGGAAGAGCCATGACATTTTTAATACAACTCAGATTGTATTAAACCCAGCAAAAATTATTAAGTTGAATTACTGAAATAAATGACATTTTGCACGATATTCTAATTTCTCGAGTTTCACCTGTATGTATATACAGTGCCCTCCACAATTATTGGCACCCCTGTTTAAGATGTGGTCGAGGACTTCTAAAAATTCTGCTTTTTTTTAAAACAACATAGAACCCAAATGCAAAAAAAGAGAACAATCCAACCTTTTATTCAAGTATATTACTTTGGTGGTAAAACAAAAATCACACATTTAAAAAAAAAAAAACTTGAAATCATGTGTCCCACAATTATTGGCACCCCTGATGTTAATAGTTTGTACAACCCCCTTTTGCCAACAAGACAGCACTTAATCTCCTCCTATAACATTTCACAAGATTGGAGAACACAGAGAGAGGGATCTTTGACCATTCTTCTTTGCACAATCTTTCTAGATCATCCAGTGTCCTGGGTCCTCTCTTATGCACTCTCCTCTTTAGCTCGCCCCACAGGTTTTCGATTGGGTTGAGGTCTGGGGACTGAGATGGCCATGGGAGGACCTTGAGTTTGTGACTGCTGAACCATTTTTGTGTAGATTTTGCCACATGTTTTGGATCATTATCCTGCTGAAAGACCCAATGACGACCCATCTTCAGCTTTCTGGCAGAGGCCATCAGGTTTTTATTGAAAATGTCCTGGTAGTTCAAAGCGTTCATAATGCCATGCACCCTAACAAGGTTCCCAGGGCCTTTGGAAGAGAAACAGGCCCACAGCATCACAGATCCTCCACCATACTTCACGGTGGGCATGAGGTGCTTTTCGGCATACTCATCTTTTGTTTTACGCCAGACCCACTTAGAGTGTTTGTTGCCAAAAAGCTCAATCTTAGTCTCATCTGACCAAAGCACACGATCCCAATTGAAGTCCCAGTGACGCTTAGCAAACTCCAGACATTTACGTTTGTGAGTGTTAGTGAGAAAAGGCTTTTTCCTTGCATGCCTCCCAAACAGCTTGTTGGCATGTCTGATGGTTGTTTTGGAGACTTTGTGACCCCAAGATGCCACTCTTTGATGCAATTCTGTGACAGTGAGCTTAGGACTTTTTTTTACTTCTCTTACCATCCTCCTCACTGTGTGTTGTGGCAAGATAAACTTGGGACCTCTTCCAGCC